AATACAGTGTGTCTCTGTGAAATGACAGAAGCTGAGGAAGCAGAATGAATTTATATTGAGGTTAAATCTATTCTGTTCTGACATACTGGTTTTGTTCATATTTTTTTGTGCTTTCCAGGAAGGTAGATGGTTTTGGAATGATGGGACACGTTTTGACTACACATTCTGGTGCCATGGAGCGCCTGACAATTATCTTCATCAGCAGCACATTATTCAGGTAACTTAATAAAATATTAAATGCAAGAAGCATACCATTTATTAAAGTAGAGAGCACAAACCTCTGCTAAAGATGTAAAAACTGAATCTACATATCAAAATATCAACATTTTCATTCTATCATCCTGTGTTTTGGATTCTTACAGGTAACAAATGCTGGGACGACCTTGGTTGCATGAATGGAAGACCGTTTGTCTGCGCCAAGAACCTCTGAGCTGATGATTCCTGAGTTGATGCTGAAGCACAAAGTACCAAAACCATGAATAAATTCATGATTTCTCTTCACTTCCGTCTTTTCTGTCGCTGTAACGCAACATGAGGAACGAAGCATGGAGTGGTAAAAACTGGAGCTGGATTCTCTTTCACACCTTGTGACTTTAACAAGAGAAAACTGAATGTGTTATGAAAAGAATGCTTTCTCTGCATTTTCCTTGTCTCTCAATTAAAAATCTTAAGCATTGAAGCAATGTGCTCTCTGTTATTTCTCATGTTCGTCTCCTGTATGACATCAATTCTGGACGCATTAATTGTTGACAAAGTCTGAGAAATGTACCTGATGACATGTAGATGGTTTGTAATAAATGGAGCATTTTAACTGAATTCATTACAACAGCAACACACAAGCAGGATTGAAGGGTGTATTTTCTCTAAAGGAATCACCAGAATGGCACCATTTATCAGTGTAAGAAACTGCAAAAACACAAAGACATCCAGATTCCCAGCTTTCCAAAAGTCTCTGAATGTGTCAAGTGTGACTTTTGTCTGGACCAAGTCATCACAGGAGACATTAATTCACCGCAGTCTTCTGCAAAATCAATTTACAAGCTTTCCTCCAAAGCAGCAGCTGCCCTCAAACAATCCAATCAAGACGCCTACTGGGAATGTCTTGATCAGGAGTTGGACTGTTGCTCCTTTGCTGCACACTGAGCTTTAACACGTCACATCAGGGCGTCACCAAGTCACCAGATGTACCAAC